ACACACATACACACACACATACACACACACACACATACACACACACACACACACACATACACACACACACATACACACACACACACACACGGGAATTTTCATTGCTAAAGAAAATAAATTCTTCTGTGTTAACTTAGGCTGTCATAAAATATCACACAGAAAGCAGCTTAAATAATAGAAATTTACTGTCACAGTTTTGGCATGCTGGAAGTTCAAAACCAAGGTAACTGCATGTTTGGTTTGTGGTTATGATCTTCTTCTTGGCTTAAAGATGGCTGCCTTCTTCTGGTGTCATCTGTCATCTGGTGTCGTAAGAGAGAAAGAGAAAACAGACAGTAGGAGAGAGACAGAGAAAAACATAAATAGATGGAGAAAACTTTAAGACAGGGTCTCTACATAGGCCTGGCTGTCTGGGAATTCACAGAAACACACTTGACTCTGTCTCCTGAGTGCTGGGATTAAAGTGTGTGTCACCATGCCTGCCTGATGTCCCTTCTTATAAGAAAAACAGTTATAGTCATTTTGCCTTAATTACTTTCCAAATGTTTAATCTCAAATACTTTTACACTGGAGTTAGGGTTTCAACTTATGAGTTTGTAAAGGACACAAGCATTAATCTATAAAACCTCAAATCTCCATGGTTAACACAAAAGACTTAGTGAAGTATAAAACAGGTACTCCTAAATGGCAGGGAGTTTTAAAAAAATGACTCATTTGAGGACCTGCCTGTATTATACATTTTTCCACTCTGTAATAGGATCTTAAAGTTCTTTACATTTATTTGATAACTGGGTAAGGAGAATGGAGGAAGAGCATGCATGGGAGATTTTATAGGCTATTCCTGAAAGTGGTTCAAGTATATTACTTCTGTCACACTCCTTAAATAATAATTCATTCATGCATCCAGAGCTAATTGCAAGAGAGACTGGAATATGCACTTTAGCTGCATCAGCTAAAGCACAATACCAAACTTCAGAGGCTTCTCTAACTGAAGTTGATGCTTACTATAGAACATTTTCCGAACAGGTCACTGAGGAAGCACCGCCTATTGTAAGTCACTCTGCTCCCCATTCTGAAGGCACTTTGGAGGCTGGCTTACTCTCAGGTACAGCCATTGCCTAACTTGTGTCTAGATAGGAAATTCATCTCAAAGTTGAATCTTGACTGTAGGTGGATGAATAACAATTTCTGAATTTACAGGTAGCAGTGGGCAGCCTTGGTCCTGGGACAGCTTACCCGCTACTTCCATATTAAATCAAGGAAAGATTGTGGTAATTTGAACAAGAATGGCCCCCATAGGCAGGGTGGAAGGTAGGTGGGGGTGGAACTATTTGATAGGATTAGAAAGATTAGAAGGTATGTGGCTTGGCACACACCTTTAATCCCAGCAATCTGGAGGCAGAGGCAGGCAGATCTCTGTGAGTTCAAGGCCAGCCTGGTCTACAGAGTGAGCTCCAGGACAGGCTTGAAAACTACAGAGAGAAACCCTTTCTCAAAAAACCAAAACCAAAAGAAGAAGAAGAAGGAGGAGGAGGAGGAGGAGGAGGAGGAGGGGGAGGAGGAGGAGGAGGAGGAGAAGAAGAAGAAGAAGAAGAAGAAGAAGAAGAAGAAGAAGGTGTGTCTTGTTGGAGGGAGTGTGTCACTGGGAAAAAGTTTTGATATTTTAAAGGTCCAGTCCAGACCCAATCTTTTTCTTTTCTGCTACCTGTGGAGCAGGATGTAGAACTCTCAGCTACTTCTCCAGCGCTATATCTGCTTGTGTGATGTCATGCTTCCTACCAAAATGAACGGACTAACCTTGGAAACTGTAAGCAAGCCCTCTCTTATAAGAGTTACCTTGGTCATGGTGTCTCTTCATAGCAATAGAAAAGTGACTAAGAGAGACACACAGAAAGAAACATAGTAAAGACAACTAGGATTGGCCACCACACATTTATATATCTGATCAGACCAGACCAAAGAAATCGGATGATATCTCACACAGATCCCAGACACTGGATCAGAGGTCTTGTCTGACCTCCTGTGTGTCCTAAACAGAAAGCACCTTAACTTGACTTAACTCCAGAGGTGACCTTATTGGAGACTTTAAAAAAGCGTCTAAATGTAACTGATCTTTATTCAAAGAATGAACCACAAGGCAATCAATTAACTACATTCCATATACTGAGTGTATTATTGTAGAAGATGGACAAACTAATGATAATAAATGTTACCTTACAGAAGGGAAAACTTATGGCAATATCTATACTATGAAATTTTTTCATATTGCAAGTATTCTCCACCTTAGAGTAGCAGAGTACTTTGATTAGGACAGATATATACTTTAGGATACACAGCACAGTGTGCTGCTTACTGTAGCTCTCTAGTCTTTATTTCTGAATAACTAGCTTTCCTTTGCAGTCTTCTTCTTGATCTTACCTAAATGTGTCACTGAAGAGTGTGCCATCCTTGGAGGCTGAGTAACTTTATCTCCATCTACTTTCTGGAGGAAGAAGATTTAAAAGTCAAGGATTGTTCTAAGCCACAAGCAGTCATGGGTATTTCTAGACTAAGATCACATTTATTTGATGTAAAAATGCTCCTGAAAACTTAACAATGTCTAACTCTGAGTCCAGTTACTCCATGAGTCAACAATGCACCCACCCTCTCCTCCAGACATACTTAGATTTTATTGGTTTTAAGAAAGCATCTCTACCTGTTTTGCTTCTCTTCCAATCTGCCCTCATTTCCTGTCCTTCCTTTTCTCTCTCTTCCTCTCATTTCCATCATTTTCTTTCTGTACCTCAACTTAATTACAGCATCTTGGACCTGCCAGACTCCAGTGACAAAGTCACGCCCCTCATTCATTTTCCCTGAACCATTTTGATCAACTGAAATAAGACAGTGGGGCCAGCTCATTTTAGTTATGGACTTTGGGTTTGTTTTCCACTAGAGAGCTGTTTTTGTCATTCCTACTTTGTCAAGTCTTCTCTGTTCCACCCTTTACTACTTGAATTTGAGAAATATTACTCCTTACATTCCAAACCTGTATATTCTTTCTAAATCTATACTCCTGATTGTTACAAGGTAATTATTTTCATGAGTTTATTTACTTATTACACTTCAATGAATGAGGACACAAGTAACCAAATGTATATCTCTAGCACTCCTCCTCTACAGAGTGACAAATCTGTACAACTTGCCACACCTGCTTATATGTCTAACAAGTATATCAAGCTGCCTTCCCACACAGAACTCTTGGTTTCTCCCACTGTTTTTCTTTCCAAGTTTCCCATAGGTCAGTAATATAATGGTAGTCATTTATTCAGTTGTACAAATCAGAAATGAAAGCATCACTCTTGATCCTTTACTTTCTTTTCTTACTTCTACCTATCAAGCCCTGTCTCTTATTCGTATTCAAACCACCATAGTTTATCTAAATATGTTTTTCTGAATTCCTAGGGTGACCAACTCATTTTGGTTTGCCAAAGTATTTCCTAGGTTTATCACTGAAAATCCCACATCTCATCAGTCCCAGTCCAAACAAGGAGATTTGCAGGGCCTGTTCTGTGTTTAAAACAACAACAACAACAACAACAACAACAACAACAACAACAACTTATGTTCCAGGAATTTTTCAAATGAGATTATTACTCATTCTACATAATCACTACAAGAGTGGGAAAGAACTGTGTCTCTTATGGTTTATATCCAATGATGAGATCTTCCATGTCTGCTTTCTCTTATTGGCTAACGCAAGTCATGTGGCTACCCATAATATCAAAGCAAATGAAAATGCAGCCAACCTTTCATATGTAAGAGAAATCCACAAAGATAGTGAACATCATAAATATAGTTAATGCTAACACACTAGCTTTATGATCAAGAACACAAAAAACAGTTTACATAAGCCAGAAGTCATACTGTAGTAGTTATGAAAAGAATTTGTATTGTTTTAAGATACTAAAGCATATAGAAAGTTCAGTGAATAAGAGCTATACAAAATGATAAAAGTGAACAATAAGAAAGATCTAGATAAATAATCATATCCAACAGACAATAGAATCTATTTTTGGAGTATAAATTTAGTTAAAATTGTCATTGTGGTTATACTCAGTATACAAATGGGAATGTATATGCATACTGGTGGTATGTATGCATTAGTTTGATTTGAGAGTGAAAATATGAAGAACATAAAGGGTGGAAGGAGGAAAGAGTAAAAATAAAGAAATCAGTTATGAACCAGGTTTAGGTAAGAGGATGGAGATAGAAGGCTGGATTTTAGAGTGTGAAACTTTAAGAAACAGGACTTGATAGGTGGAAGTAAGAAAAGAGAGGAAAGGATCAAGAGTGATGCTTTCATTTCTGATTTGTACAACTGAATAAATGACTGCCATCATATTACTGACCTATGGGAAACTTGGAAAGAAAAACAGTGGGAGAAACCAAGAGTTCTATGTGGGAAGGCAGCTTGATATACTTGTTAGACATATGAGCAGGTGTGGCAACTAAACAATTGTTGTACAGATTTGTCACTCTGTAGAGGAGGAGTGCTAGAGGTATACATTTATAACATCAACATGTTGGTTGATAGCAAAGACAGAGACAGAGAGAGACAGAGACAGAGAGAGTCAGAGAGAGACAGAGACACACAGAGACAGACAAAGAGACAGAGAGATAGAGAGGGGAACAGAGAGACAGACAGAGAACAAGAGAGAGGTAGGAAAAGAGAAGAAAAGTACCTGGACAGATACAGAAGTGCTCTAACATTTAGAGATCCGGTAGAGAAGCAATGTGGAAAGATACTGAGAAGTGCTACCATGGTGACATCTTGTAATTTAATGGATTTGGAGTGGGAATATTGTTCAAGAAACTTGAGTGGTGTTGGCTGTTTATTGCTGCAAAAAATTTAATCAGAAAAGTACAAAGATTAGCTGCCAAATCTTGCAAACTGTCAATCATGGCAGCAATTTCTGTGGAGTTGGCCGAGGAATGAGTGGACAATGAAAAAAGAGACAGTGAATTCAGATAAGAGTCTCCAGGCATAAAGTAATCATATTATAAAGTAAACAGTTGTAACATAATTAAATTTAAACTTCATATAGTAGAGTAAATGGAATATTTACCAGTTTATAATTACATTACTTATCTCTAGATGGAAATTAATTAACAGAAAATGATAGTCAACGTTGCACCAGAGAAGGGAGGCCAGGTCCAGGAATCCAGTAACTGCAGTTGGCTCAGAGGGAGCGTGTCAGTGGATCTGGAGGGAAGAATTGTTTTCTTCATTATAGAACCCACTGTTGAAGGGCAAGGAGAATTGTTCAGATTCACTATTGTCCCAAATCCTTTGAAGATTATCATCTTTTTGATTTCCTGCTAGTCAAACAACTTTCTCACTCACACGCTAGTGTCCTGAGTTGGCTTAGTTCCAGAGGGAAGGTAAAGAAACTAAGAGTAACAGAAAGGACTTGTGATACAGACAGGCAATGGATAGAGGGATTCTTTTGGATGTGAGGCTTTTCCTTTTTCAGTTTTTTTTTTCTTCTTAGATGAAGCAAGAGAATAAGACAGGATTGCAACTGACTCAGCAAATATATAACTGAGTGTGAATCCCTTTAAGATGGGTTTATTGGTAAGCCTCAGGACCACAACACAATGCCATACAGAGAATGTTTTATACATTGCTTTCTTCCTGTTCACTCTTGGAGACTTCATGTCCAAGGTCAAGTTGCTGGTACACTGGATTTCTTAGAAATCCTCTTTTCTGCCTTGTAGACTGCTGGCCCCTCTCTGTAGTCTCACATGACATTTTTCTTGTCACAGAGAAAAAGGGAGGGAGTGGCAATCTCACTGGTCTCTTTCTTCTTAGACAGGCCAATCCTATTAGATTTTCATCTTGTAATGGCATTTAACCTTAACTACTTAAGGATTTATCTGCAAATATAACCATAGTGTATGGAGTAGAGATTCAGCATATGAACTGCTTTGGGAGACAAGGCATATGTATGTAGTTTAAACTGGCCTGGAACTCGCTATGTTGATCAGGCTAGAGATCTTCTTGCCTGTGCTTTCTGAGTGCTGGGATTAAATGCTTGTATCACCATGGCTGGCTCAACAAATGAAAATTTGCCAGAGCAGAATTCATTCCATAATAAGTGATTTTCCTTTTTCTTATAACTATAGGTCCCTTGCTGATGGGGCGTGGTAAGAAACAAGATTTCACATTCATTTATGGCAGTTCAATTACATTCTCAACTAGGACATGGTACTTCAGGAATTTGTATAAATGCCAGAGTAAACATGATTGAGAATTGGGAGTGGTAGACAAAGTATATTAGAGAGAGTAGGGGTAGGGTAGGGAATGTGCAACATTATACTTGAAATGGTTGATCATTGGAGTTAAGCTCATTTTACTCATGTCTTTATTATGTAATTGTAGTAGGACAATGATATAAAACAGTTTTATGTTGACGTAGGTTAAGAAATATTTTCCTTATTTTATTTTTTAAGTAACATACATACACTTTAGCATGCAGAACAGCAGATATCATGGAGGATGCTAACTATGAGTTTATAAACAGTTCTTGGATTAGTTGTTTTCATTTTGCTGTGACAAAATTAAACAACAAAAGCAACTTAAGGGATGACAGGTTTGTTGCAGGGAGATTTCAATCAATAGTGATGGGGAAAGCAAGGCAGAGTTCAGTGGGAGCAAGTGGCAGAAATTCCTCATACAGCAGTGAGCCTGGAAGCAGGAAGGAGGAAGGAGGAAGCAGGAAGCACCTCACTAACTGATCTTGGAGCATTTGTTGAGAATCAGCTAATCCAAGGATACATGAGTTTACTTTAAAGTCTCATTTTTATTACAGCAATCTGTATTTTTGTCTTTGTTCTGATACCATACTCTTTTGATTGATATTGCTTTGGGATAGTTGGAGACAAAGAGTGTGCCCCCTCTTTGATCACCATTTTTAAGCTTGTTTTGAGTAAGTAGCCAGTACTTTTTTGGGGTCACAGAATCTTAAAAATGTAGACAGTTTCTTGTAAAAGAATAAGAAAATGTTAGATTCTTTTCTATATATCTTCCTCTTCAGGAGCACAGCAGCTCTAAAGACAACTATATAGAAAGAAACAGAGACTTGTCTCTAAGACACTTAGTCCTGGGTAATGATGTGAAGAGCTGAATGTCCAAACAATGGAGCCCTTAAATTCTTATATCTTGAGCCTATTTTAGCAGTTGAAAGTGTAATTAGTTTTTTTCTTTTCATGGAATATTCCTATTTATAGGTAAGATTCCACTTTCTTGTATCTTGAGGTAACTTGTCAAATTGAATAATGATATGTAAAGAGAAATGGTATTACTCACTTTTAGGTAGAAGGTGGAAGAGCCAGGGCATATTTTACCATTTTCTCTCCTATTTTGGAAAGTGGAAACATGCAAGTAGATTTCTGTTAGTGAGAATCCTTGAGTGAGGAGGATCCAGGGAACAGTATGCTTCCTATCTCCCACTGAAGCTTATTCACAGTGATGCTATTGCATGAAGGGGGAATATACCGTTTCTATTCCAAGCACTGAATACTTGATGCAGTTTAGAAATATATCTGATTTCATGACCAAATTTGTTATTAAAACATGAGCTTAGCCGGGCGGTGGTGGCGCACGCCTTTAATCCCAGCACTCGGGAGGCAGAGGCAGGCGGATCTCTGTGAGTTCGAGGCCAGCCTGGGCTACCAAGTGAGTTCCAGGAAAGGCGCAAAGCTACACAGAGAAACCCTGTCTCGAAAAACCAAAAAAAAAAAAACATGAGCTAATCTATCTTATAGAAAATGGGTACCAAAGCAAAACTGTTGCAATATAAAAACCTGAAGTATGTGGTGCTAGATTAAGAATTGGAGGATAAAAATCTATAATAATTTATGTATTGCAGTGGTAACATTCTTGAGAAAAATCCAGCATCGTGGTGGATACCTGTAATTTCAGCAAGGGGGAGATGGAGAAAGGCGAGCAAGTAGTTCAAGGTCAGCTTTAGCTTGTAGTAAATTGAAGGCCAGCATGAAAACAAGACTCCTGGTTTCCTTCCATTGTCCCCCATTGCCAAAAACAAAACAAAAACAAACAAAAAAACAAACAAACAAACAAAAAAGAATTAGAATGAAGCTTACAAGTAATAGTTTAGTAGGGAAACCACAAATGAAATAACTTTATTATCCCTAGGGAGAAAGTTTTTTGTTTTAAAAAGAATTAGAAATATAAGATAGTACCTACTCATAGCAAGGTATTACAGGTTCAGAAAAGAATCAGTCTGTTTATAAGTGAGGATTAAAGGGAACAGAGTTAAATCCAGGAATCAAAGACTTGAAGGGCTGGACAGGGCAACTGCATCCCAACCCCAACTAGTAAGTAAAAATGGCACAGCCATTAAAATCCAACCATGTGATCAGTGTCAATCCAAGTGTTTTTTCATTATAGCCATTGCTAAAGCTTAAGAATGCCTGAAAGGAGCATTCAGCAAATCCTTTACATTGAACATTACTCAGATAAAAAGAGAGCCACATGGTTTTCTTCTAGTCTTGACAGCCTGCTCATCATTATTCGAGAGCAGCATAACAGTAAGAAAATGAAGCAAAAAACCAAAACAAACAAATCAAAGTATGTCTAGAAGTAAACTATACAATGACTATTTTCAATAAAAGGGTAAAAAGATTTAAATACAAGTGAATATGTAGTTCATAAGTAATTTACATTGCTAAATTCTTTAAAATTTTAGATGACTATATTTAATACTTTATAAAGAATAAAATTCTATTATACTTAGTATGTAAATTAATTAAAAGCAATTTGGTGGTTGTCCTCAGCTATGAGCAGAGCTGAAAAATCCAAGCGATTTGGGGAATTATATAATCAATATGAACAAAATGTGCACAAACAAAATGAAATGTCATATGGTACAAATCAATTTCAGTCTGAAATAATGTCATTTCTTTATATAATCCATGCTTCCTAGAAACATTAACAATGCTAAATCAAACCCAGATCTTTACATTGACATTATTCTATAATATCATTTTTTTCAAAGTATGGTTATATAAAGTAGAGAAAAGAGATTCCATGTGTAAAACTTCACCAAAATACAACTTGGAAGAAAAGCTATAAACATATATTCTTCTTTAATTAAGTTTACTTCATATTATGTTTTTCATATGGATTTTATATTTGAATTGCCTGTGAAAATAAAGGCTAAAATTTTTATGTGTATCTTGATGTATTTTGTACTGTCTTTCTAAAAAAAATTGTTTGTTTTTGAGTTAGACTCTTTTGTAGCTCAGAATGGCTTTGAAGTCATCATGTAGCTATGGACGACCTTGAACTCCTGATTCTCCTGTCTCCATCTCCAAAGTTCTGGGACCATAGGTATGCTTCATCAATCCTAGCTAACAATTTCCTGGGTTCTTTGCCTTTTTCCTTTTTTTTTTAGTGCGGTACTAGGGATTGACCACTCAGCCTTGCATATGGTAGTCGAGCATTCTGCTGCTGAACTACATCCGCAGCTCCCTTTCTCTTTTTCTACAATTATGTATAAGCATTTCATTACACATATCAGTTTTAGAATAAGCAAATGGAGACTTGGAAAAGTTTAAACAAAACTTGCCTAAGATTATAATGCTAATAATGGGTAAAGTTGTCTACGAGATCCATTCTTTTCTGATACTTTCCCTCCAACAATATTTCCACATCCATTTAACTATATTATAGAGAACTGTATTAATAAATAAAACATGAAAAGTAAGTAGTTACTTTGGATTAATTCTTTTTCAAATGGAAAATTTATATATTTTTCCTCAGGTTTACATTTTAAACATCAACAGATAATTCAATAGGATTCATGGCCTAAATTTATTCTCAAAACATTGAAATCTTTAATGAGACTGAGGAAAGATATATTATTTGTCCAAATTAACACAGGGTTTGCTTTTAAACTTGGTTTGAAAAAGAGTTAGCTTGAGTTGATACAGAAGCAACATTTCTATGTTCTGGAAAACCTGCTGAGGATCATCCTGTGATGTACATCTATCAGAGAAATCAGAGCAGCTTGGGAATCAGAGACTCTAAGAGGTTCGACTGTCCTTTTGGGCAACTCAGTGGTTACCTAAGAGTGGGAGTGTTGTTTTTTATTCTAGGAAGTATTTCCACTGGAGAAGTGATTCTTCTCTCTGTGTGTCAGTAAGTGGAACTGTGCCTATGAACTGCCTCTTGAGACTGCATACATGCTCGATCAGTGGCTGACAGGCACTCTATACCCAAAGGTAGAAAATGTTGAATCACTGGGCAAGCATGTATTGAACATCTTTGGTTGAATGATATAGGAAAATCAAGCTAAGCTAGAAGCTTCCTCCCTGGGCAGCTAAGCAATGTTTTGAGGCTAGTGGTCACAAATTTAAAGCATCAGAACAATTGGAATAGCAAGATACATGTATGCTTGTGCAAGTGTTTGTGTGTGTGTGTGTGTGTGTGTGTGTGTGTGTGTGTGTGTGTTTATTCACATTCAGTGAAGTGGAAATACAAACAGAACAGAAAGAAGAGAGCAAGAGAATTGATTGAGTATTTAAAAGGTAGATACAGTAGGGGTGGTTAGTATTGATTTTCAACTTGCTAGTTTCTAAAATCACCAAAAAGACAAGACTCCAGGTACACCTGTGAGTGATTATTTAGATTAAGTTACTCTCTGGGCATGCCACAAAGTATTATGTTGATTAGGTTAATTGAGGTTGGAAGATCCAAAATAAAGAAGGACAATATTATTCCCTAGGCTGGGGTTGTGGACAATATTAAAAAGAGCAGCTGGCTAAATATGTGACAAACTGTGCCAGCCTTCTACAAACTTTGCTTCTCCACAACAACAGACTCTCAAACTATGAGACAAAAGAAAACTTTCCCCCTTTAAGCTGATTTTTCTCAGGGTATTCACATCATAGCAACAGGAAAAGTAACCAAGATACATACAAAACGATGCAATTTAATCTGGGCACACAAGATGTAAAGTAAAAGATGTGAGTTGAGAAAGGAGGAGTGTAAAGGCATAAAACAGCTGACTTCTGTCTCTACAGGATAAAGAGTCAGGAAACTGGAAAGAGTAGGCTGAAGAGAAAAAGGAAGCCGTGGTTAGCGAATGGAACACCTAAAATGGAAACTATAAGGGTGGTTGCATTAAAAACATTCAATTCATTTTTGATTATGCATATGTCTGTGAATCTGTGGTGTAGGTGTGCACATATGAGTGCAAGCTCCCTAGGAGGCCCGAGGTGTCAGGTCTGGAGTTACAGGCAGTTGTGGCAGGTGTCTGTGACATTAGCGACACTCTGTATGACTATGGTGAAAAGCCTGGCATGGTGGTGGATGTCTTTAATTGCAGCACTTCGGAGGCAGAGGCAGGCAGAGCTCTGAATTTGAGGCCTAGTCCACAGACTGAGTTCGGAGGCAGCCAGGGTTACATGGAAACCGTCTAAAAAAAAAAAAAAAAAAGAAAGAAAAGGAAAACAAACAAAAAATTAAAATATATGGTTATGGTTATGGAAAGTGCGTCCAGAGGTGGAATAACGTTACTAAAAAGGAGAGATCAAATAACCAAGACTCCAGAATAATAGGGGAAGACTATGGGGACATTGAAATCATCCACAGTATGGCATGGAGGGTGTTGGGTGCAGTCTGTGGATCTCCAAGTTTCCAAGATATTAAAAGGAATAGCCCGAAGGTGAGTAGACAACTGTAAGAAGGCAACACATCCTGATAAGAATAAAGGTTGTAGTTGTATGAAGTCACACCAACCTATCCAGTAATTCAGAGCCGTAAAAACATTGTTTCATGTCCTGACATGCTATTATTGACTGCTAGAGGGCAGCAGAAGCCAGCAACAGGAAAGGAAAGCCTTCAACAAGAGGAAAATGCTTTGTTTTCGCCTAGAGAGCCATATAGTCAGGGCAGAAACAAAAGTCCAAGTTCAAGGAGTCTGCAATTAAGGTTCTATTCAGTAACTGGAGAGTCCAGCAAAATAAACAAGAGTGCTTTAAAGGTTTACGTGAATAGCATTCTTTCACTTTGAACTATTTTTGGGAACTAAAACAAAGGAAGACTGGGAAGAGCCACCAAGTGTTGGTCAAAAGCCAGAGCTGGGTACCCACAGGAAGGAGAAGGTGGAGTTAAGAGGCAGCAAAGTATAAAGTGAACACATTAATGAATAAAGGCGTGTTTAGAAGAACTTGGGCTGTCTGAGGGAACTACAGACTGCCTCTGACAAAATCTGAACAGACCCTCCACTAAAATAGGCACACACAAGGGCAGCAATGTGCAACAAAGGTTAAGGGCAGGAACATGACCAGCTTGGAAGTTACAGGAAGAGACAACTTGTTTGTTCCTCCG